CCTACCTATTATCGGTATCAGTATTCTTAGCTATGGGTGTTCAGTATAATTCATCAAATTTAGAAACCTATCGGAATAATCTGATTTGGTGTGTTAACTACTATTGCATAAGGTTTCTTTGCATGTCCATGTATTCTAAAGTGTAAATGTCGATAACTTCTATTCTATGCGTTAATATTCCCACCAATGAATAGTATCTTCTCGCCTGAACTACGTTCACTAGTAAGTATTCACTGCTAATTCACCATAAACTCGTTGAAGTGAATAATTAGTTTTGTAATGGGTAATGATTAAAAGTGGGGTGAAGGTCTGGGTTGGTGGTAAGAGACGAGCTAGTGGAGTTCATTTAACGACTGATGAGCTCCATATGTTGAGCTATGCGACCTCTAATCACTGCATATGACATCAGTAGTTGTCTGTCAATCCAAGAATATCTTGGAAAGTTTTACCATAAAAGAACAATTATTTTTTATTACTATGTTGACGTATTTATGTGTAATAATATCAACGATCATGTTTGCAGGGTATTCAGTTGACGAGTCCCATAGAATTTGATGAGTTCACTAAGTCACTTCTCCTACATGGATCAGAAACTAGGTTCAGCCAACACGAAAAGCTTTTACAACAACTTGCTGCAGACTTTTATCAACAGCTGCCTTCTCTGGTTCCATATTAGAAATCTGATAGCCAGAGAGAATTATGAACAATGAACTCTGGAAACGAACAATCAAGGGCTTACCACTCAACGAATATGCCGAAGAAAATGGAGATGGATTAGTCATACACCGAAGACACTCTTCGGTGAAGTTGTGCATCAGGCCTTCTAGTCAAACGGTGGGTTTTGTAGTAGGTCCAAGTGGATAATACTTCAGTCTTTGATATTGAAATACAAACGGGAGACATAAAGGCCGAACTGAGACTAGACAACAAAGGAAGAGAAATCATTATGGGTAGAGAAGCTCTTGGAGAGATGATTGAAAACGGAGAATTCTTCGTTGACTTCTGCGCCTTCAATGAACTAGTGATTGGGGGCAGCGTATACAAGCACAAGGCTACATGGGTGTCACCAGACGGACGAAACAAAACCAAACTGATTTCATCTCAATCTCAAGGAAGTTGAGACGCAGCTTACTGGACACAAAAGTAAGAAGAGAAGCATACTTCGGCTCAGACAACTATCTCGTACAAGGAACACTTAAAATCAAATTAAAAACTTTCAAGGGACCAGGAGCTGCAGATAGACCACAAGCCAAGTTCAATACTCAAAAACTGAAGGACCAGGATACAAAGGACATCTTCACTGCAAGCATAAAGGACAAAGCCGAGACACAAATCAACACTGGCGAAGAGGTCAGCGTTGAAAAGCACCGGAACAACCTGAAACTAGTTAGGAGTCAAACTTGTATGACGTTTTAGGCAGAAAGAAGAGACAGGACAAACAGTGGCTCACTACGGACAATTGGAGACTGATAGAAGAGAGAGGCATGGTGAAACAAAAGATTATCCAGTGCACCGACGAGCAACAAAAACAATAGTTGAATGCAAGCTACAATACACTGAACAAAAGAGTAGAGAAAAGTGCCAAGGAAGACAAAAGACAATATTGCAAGGCTACGTCAAGTGAAGCGGAACAAGCTGCAGGCAAAGGAAATCTCGCAACACTCTACCAAACAACTAGGTTCCTATCGACAAAACGTTCAACACAGAAAATAGACCAGTGAAGGTTGATAATTGAAAGTCAATCACCAAAGAGGTGGAGCAAAGGAAACACTGGGTTGAACACTTCAAAAAACTTTTAAATCGACCGCCACCTACAACGCGCCCAACAATACCAACAGCGGAAGAAGAACTACCAGAGGACATCAGCTCTCCGACGAGAACAGAATCCTGAAGACAATCAAGATGCTGAAAGCTAGAAAAGTTGCAGAGCCGGACAAGATCCTAGCAGAAGCGTTGAAAATAGACCCAGAGAAATCAGCGGACTTGATGACACCACTACTGGAGAAGGTGTGGAAAGATATCAAGGTACCTGCTAACTGGAAGAAAGGCTACCTATTCAAGCTGCCAAAGATAGGAGACATAAATCAATGCAAGAACTGGCGCGGAATTATGCCCTCATGTCCATCCCAAGCAAAATATTAAGCCGCATCATCCTGGAGAGAATCTAATAAGCCCTGGATGAGAAACGTCGACCGGAACAGCCTGGATTCAGGAGTAAAAGGTCACGCATTGGTCAAATCGCAACACTACGGATCATCATTCGACAGAGCTTGGAATGGCAGTCAGCTCTCTATCTCAAATTCATTGACTTTGAAAAGGCCTTCGACAGCGTCGGTGGAGAGGTGATTTGGCAACTACTTAGCTACTACGGGGTGCAGCCAACAAATATAGTTCTCATCCAACGGTTGTACGACAATGCTGCATGCCAAGTAATCCACAACGAGAAATTCAAGTAGTCCTTCGAAGTGATTGATTTCCTGATTGCAGTAGATTGGATAATGCGACAGACAGCAGGCAGCGAGGAAACAGGCATGAAACGAACCCACACAAAAAACTTGGAGGATCTGAACTTCGCTGATGATATATGTCTGACTTCCTACAAACTGAAGGATATGCGAGTGAAAAGCAACAAGTTCAGAGAAGATGGAATTTCAGGTAAACATAGAGAAAACAGAGGTGATGAAGATTCCTTGCCAACACCAACAGCAACAACAACAGACAACAATCAGCCAGGATAATGGGAGAAATCTGAAAGAAGCAACCTCCTTTACCTCCCTACCTACTTACCGGGAAAGCATCGTTTCAACTACGGGTGGGCGGAAGTGATGAGGATATCGAAGCGAGGATCGGGAAAGCAAGGCAAGCTTTTACTACTCTCAAGTCTGTGTGGAGGTCAACAGAACTCAGCATGAGAAATAAGATCCAGATTTCCAACTCTAATGTGAAGTCAGTGCTACTATACGGACCAGAGACTTGGCCAGCACGTCACGAAGGGCACATCGAACAAACTACAGATTTCCATCAACAGCTGTCTTCACTCAATACTTTGCTCAAAATCAGATGGCCAGAAAAGATCAGTAACACAGTGGGATCTCTGGGAGCGAACCGACACAGCAGGAACCGATTGTGAAACAAGGATGCAGGAAGAAATAGAGGTGGATTGGCCATACTCTGAGGAAACCATCAAGTGAGTGACTATCACACGCCAGGCCATTGCTCGAGTGGAACCGAAATGTGAAGGGGCGAGTTGGTCATCAGTGCTATGGTGACATGGAGGGGTTCATGTGAAGAGGAGATGAAAGAGTGTGTGCAGACGTGAGGCCAGGTGAAAACGTTGGCAAAGAACCGAACGCAATAAAAACGTGCGAGTGAAGCCCTATGTTCCTCTAGGAATTAAAGGAAACAATAGTAATATAAGAGTAGCTGTTACATGGAGTATATGGTCAATTGTAGGGCCAGCTAAAAAGGACTGCAGAGAATAGGACAAGATAGTGATTCTCTGTTGAAGTTCTGTGTTCCGCTTTGAACTCTAAAGACTAATAATAATGCAAACTGAAAACCAGAGGGTTCTGGACAGTTATTTCATCCTAGCTTGGGAATCATCGGCAGCTCGCACCCACTGGGATTCTAACCCAGGACCTTCCGGTTACAAGGCGAGCTCGTATACCATTCAGCCACTGGAACCCGATTCAGTGACCCATGAACTCTAACTTCTACCAGTTCGTGAATTAGCTAGAATTCATGGGCCATTGAATTGGGTCCCAGTGGCTGAATGGTATACGAGCTCACCTTGTAACCGGAAGGTCCTAGGTTAGGACCTCAGTGGCTGCGTGCTGCAGTTATGATAATGAAGAATGAAAACGTCTGTGATGTAACGAATAACTGTGAGTGATTTCCCTATGCGAACTCAATCGCCGGCTTTTACATTTCATCGAGGCAAACTAACATGCCTTAGATAATAATCACTCCTATTCAGAAGTAATTCTGTATTTTTACATGACTACCTTCCACGTCTCTTCTAAATAATTCTACATCATCTACAAAAGTTTTCCTTGAAAAAAGCGGTGGTTTGGCATAAACAATAAATATAGCAGCAGTCTGAATGAGTGAAAGCTCCTAGTCTTCAAAGGTGTTGACTGAAAGTCGGTGGCCCAGGGGTAGAATTGTCACCAACACTCCAGTTGGTATGGATTAGATTCCTGGTTGAAGCATTCCTAAACTTCACCTAGTTTTATCACCGATAGTAAATTCAAAAATAGAGAGAAGATTGGGCATGAGGCTGACAATCTTACCCCGTGGAAACAACACCACCGCTATCGAAATTCTAAAGCTAGACTCTGTTTATTCCACTGGGAACTAAAGGAATGAAGGATAGGAGAAGGAGTGCTACATTCTCTGGAAGTCCTCTTTTTTAGCTGATTACAAACCTCGCTGGACATATTTCTTGGATTTCCAAATTAGAATTTATCATAGTTCTAAAGTTGTACAACGAACTAACGTCTCACCTCGTCATTTGTAGGATTATTGGCTAGTGACTGCATTACACATGTGATAGACAGGAATAGTCACGTGACCAGTATACAGATGTAATCTAATTCTACAGGTAGTAAGTTGTGATCTGAGTAAATCCATGAAACATTCTTTAAATTCACCATATGCGCGAAAACTTCAAATTTCAATGTACCAAATACATTTCCCAAATTGATGTTTACTAGTAGGGATGGAAACTGTATAAAATAAAAACTTCCTACTAACTAAACGATTGTTAACCTCTGGGATTTATCAGTAAGCTTCACTTAAAATAATTTGCACTAATTAGTTATCTGGTATTTAAGGCTATCTGTTCAGTGAATAAAAAATAACTAGTCTTCATTTTTAGAATCGACTTATTCGCATATTTCTATTGACTAAAAGTAGATTGAAAAAGAAAACACCGGTTATTTTTGAATAATGCTGTTTATTTATTAATTCAAGGCCATACAGATAACTGGATACAAGCATCAATGAAATACTTCATGAATGATTACTCCTCCGAAAAAATAAACCTATAAGAAGAAATAATAATAAGAATCATAGAAGTAAAAGAATAGAATTGGGGTACTGTGATAGAGCTTGATTCCATCACAATATATATGATCTGTTTGATACCATAGATTATCTGAAGCCGGCTGGCAAGCACTACTGGCTGATATGGATGGTATCCAGCATCTCGTCTCAATCAACTTTCGTTTCTTTTACGTTTGCAGGTGTCAACTTTCTAAACTAGTCTACACATTGGATACGCTTTACGAGTAAGAAGATGTTGGGTATCTGAACACTGCTATACATTCAGAAAATTTACGCCCAGGAAGATATTTAGTGGGTCATTTAGTTTTATGCCTAACTAGCGACTATCAGATGCTGAGAACTTTTCTAAAGGAACTCTTATTTATGTTTGTTTCCTTAGTTGTTGCTAGGCAAAAGATAATCACAAAATGCAGTCTTTGAGATAGTTATCTCTTTTTGTGGATTCTCATCTGCATGTGGCGTTTTAGAAGTCGAAACACATAGAAATATACAGCGCAAATACGCGTTCCTCACTAACGATTCTGAATATCTGATATCGGAACATGATAAATCATTTGTCTATGGCACTTGCACTGGTAAGAATTCAGTTGTCGTATAGGCATCTCAGCACTATATTTCTATTCTAAGCATTAGCGACTAGTGATGGATGGCAGTAATCGCTAAACACTGGTCTACGGTTTCTTAACGATCTCACCCAGCTACTGAACATCAGATCAGAGTGCACTGCCAGTTCGACAATGACTTTGCAGACTTGATCAAAAAATAGGCAGCATGGCACTGGTTATTACCAATTGGCTGACCTAAAGGGGGTCATCTCATTCCCCCCCCCCACTGACTCAGCGATAACGTCTCTAGCTGCAGAATCCGACTGGCGAGCCTCAAATCGGAAAAACCTTGCCTCCTACATCCTGCTGTCAGCCGCCAGACTGTTTAGGAAACACTTTTCCAATGCATTATGAAACTTACAGAAAACACAGCTATACTCATATGGAAAGAGTTGGTTTTAAAACAACTGAAGAAAACTGCTAATGAAACTTACCACTTACCAGATTTCTATCAGTATCCTCCTCTATTATAACTGTTAATTCCAGACGGCACGGATCCATCATCCTCGTCATCATAAGCATAATCATCATCGCCTTCCCCTTCATAATCATAGTCATCAATTAATTCAGTCTGAAGTTCACCAGCTGGATAGAAATTGTCATGTATCGTATCTGTTTTAATTCATTTAAAAAACAGTTAAATAATCAATTAATCCTGGGAGAATATTTTTTTAATGTCATCATAAACATTTCTACTGCGTGTGTATTTCGAAAACGATGAGACGAATTAAGTAGTATACAGCTTTCAATCTAAGAAAATTACAATATGTACAGCTTTTTTAGATGAACTGAAAACTACACAGTAAAGTCATGTGAACTTGATTAGTTTTACGACCATTCATCTAATTAACTCCTTACAGGGACTGAGGCTCATATCGATGTTCCAAAGCTAGAACGCCAGCCAACCACGCACGTGGTCCAGAGTCTGAAACCCAGCCGACGTGCTGCTCAGCTTTGGAAAAGAGGCAAGGTTGGGCGTGAGGCTAGCATCTCCACCCCGTAAAAACAACATCATTGATACTTAAACTTCGAAGCCTGGGTCCTTATGTCTCGTTCGGAACGCGAAGAAATGAAATGAAGAAAGTTGAAGTTATTATTATTCCCTTGTTTTCTAAGTGGAACAGAGGGATTCAGAAGGACACCTTCATTTCACTTAAGGCCTGCGCTACCATTTTCAGCTGGCTCAATGACTCCTCACAAGCTTTCATAGCCTCCCACCATGATCTGCATGTGAGACACGGTCGTCCAACCTGTGTTTTCCCACTAGGATTCCACTTAAGGGCCTGATGTATGATGTCACTCGTAGGTCTCCACAGCGTGTGCCTCTTTCATACTGCATACTAGTGAGACTGTATGTAGCTGTCTGATTAGTTGCCAGAGTTCCCTGTGGCCTATCGTTTCTGGCCGGTCATCTTATCTTCAGGCAGCTGCTGGTAGAAGCTGAAGTATATCGCCCTGTGTAAAACAGAAGTTTTATTTTAACCCTTTTATTATTAAGAAATTTTTGTAACATAAAATAGCACGTGAAAACGTCAGTTAACTAGAGGCAGCTATTACTGGAAACTGAGATGCACAGTTTCTTTCTGTCTGGCACTCATAAGCCAGATATTCCTGAATTAAATGATTCATGTGTGCACACACTTGAAGACATCCAGGCCACGAAAGAATAGGTGTTCAATACTGCTTGGCTATTTTTTTAACTATTCTTTAACTGATATAATTAGTTCCTGGTCAAATGTACACTGAACTTGATCTTTTTCATACACGCTCTGGGATTATTTTCCAGAGTGTGATTGATGAAAGGCAGTTAAAACAGTGATGTCTATGGTTGGTAAAGAGTCTGGACGAACTTCGTCTGAACACTTCAGTTTGGTGTTTTTAAGTGGATTCCAACGGCTTCAACCATATGTAAAAGACGAAATGGTAAGGCAAAATTAAAATTAATTGGAATAATGTCGATTATTTTGAAAGTCTTTTTAACAGCGACTTCACGTTCAGTGTATACAAGACAAATTAAATGGCAGTTACGAGTAGACCTTGTTTTCCCTTTCTTAATCAAGCAAGATGATATTTGGAAGTCCGTTGAGGAAAAACGCCAAGTTGTACTCGCAATGTAACTACAAGTAACAATACTCGGTTACGTATAACAGGAATTACTACCATTACCCCATTAAATTGGTAATAAAAGACTAGATGCAGACCATGGATATTAGTCATCAAATTAGCCAATGATGAATACAATAAGCTTGTAGATTTTTGGTTGACTTTAGTTAAACTAATAATATAAAGTTCAGTGTTTTTAGTTACTCCTATTCTCAGGAGTTTTAAACAGAACTCTCACAAAAATGAACATTAATTACACTTTACTAGGGGAAAAAGAATCAAAAATTTGTCAGCGGGGATACAGTGTACAAAGACGTGTATACCCAAAGAAATTCACAATCTATTGTTACGGAAGTTGAATTAAAGTAATACTTTACAGCTGATATTTATCGGTTGTTGTCAGCAGTGGAATAGTTGATCAAAACTAGGAGGGATTAGGAGATAGTTTTGCCTTCATTCTGAGAAGGGTTCTACTAGTAGCTAGTATACATTTGTAGATATTCGTAATAAGAATGATATTAGTAATTAGGATAGGCGAAGATATGCAGTTATGAGTTCGGAGTGAGATTTCCCAGTGATACAACATTCACACTTGAAAGCCGATTCTTGGAGGCTAATAAACCTTTGTAGACTTTATAAAGGTAAGCTCCAGTGCAAATGTACTATCATCTTTCTATCGTCAAATCCTTAGGTGACTGATAAACTTATACACGACTAATAGTACTACTACTTACTGGTAGTACCACACTGGCGAAGTAAGGCTTAAATTTCGAAGGTTGGTTTCAGCTTGGTTTAAATGTTAGAATTTCACAATGCTGGTTAATTGCTAAGATCTAATTGAGCAGATAACCTGACCATCTGCATCCTAGAAGAAGCATCAAAGAACATAGAGAAAACAGAGGTGATGAAGATCCCTGGGCAACACCACCAAGAGCAACAACAACAACAACAGACAACGATCAGCATAAATGGAAGGAACCTGAAAGAAACAACCTCCTTTACCTACCTACCTACCGGGAAAGCATCGTTTCAATTACAGGTGGACGGAATTGATGAGCATATCAAAGCAGAGAGGATTGGGAAAGCAAGGTAAGGTAAGCTTTCATTTCTCTCAAGTCTGTGTGGAGGTCAACAACACTCAGCATCAAAAATAAGAGGAGGATTTTCAACTCCAATGTGAAGTCAGTGCCACTTACTATACGGATTAGAGACTTGGCCAGCACGTCACGAAGGGCACATCGAACAAACTACAGACCTTCATCAACAGCTGTCTTCGCTCAACACTTTGCTCAAAGTCAGATGGCCAAAAAAGATCAGCAATAGGGATCTCTGGGAGCGAACCAACGGGTAAATGATTGTACAAAAAATATACAGGAAGAAAAGGAGGTGGATTGGCCATACACTGAGGAAACCATCAAGTGACATCACACACCAGGCCATTGCTCGAGTGGAACCGAAATGTGAAGGGGCGAGTTGGTCGTCAGTGCAAGGGTGACTTGGAGGAGACCATGTGAAGAGGAGATGAAAACGTGTGGGCAGACTTGGAGCTAGGTGAAGACTCTATCAGAGAACCGAACGCAATGGAGACGCACGGCTGAAGCCCTATGTTCCTCTAGGAATGAAAGGAAACAATAATAATAATAACATCTGCATCTGAGGTTAGTAACTTAAGACTAAGCCATAATCTCGACCTCTCTTTCTTTTTTTTTTTAGTTCACTGTTGTTATCTTCAGAAATATAAATGAACATATAAGGTAAATCGGTTAATATGCATAGACAGACTCACGTGAATGACTCAATGTCACCATAGCCACTAAGACGAAAAGGCTCATAAGGAGTGAAGAATTCATCGTTTCTTTTTTTTCTTACAAATTAAGGGAAGACGACTAGGAGATGATTTCGGTGTAAACAATTGTTTACTTCTGCTTGTTTTCACTTTTATACACAAATCAGTGTTTAAAATAATCAGGGCAACTGAATAAATATTATTATTATTATTGTTATTATTATTACCAATTCTCAAGTGTATTTCAGTATTATGGCTTAATCATCATTAAAATATTTTGTATGCCTGATATGAAAGTAGTGAAATGTTTCTCCTTATCTAATTTCGTTTGATTAACCTTACGCTAATTTTAATAACAACATTAATTGAGCAATTATAAAATGCAATTAAGTTAGGAAGTTTAGCTACATTTTTCAATTAATTTAATGGTTAGTTAGAGACCGGATGTGAAATTATACTTTTAAATGTTAGCAGAAATTGTAGTAAATTGTTTGTGTTTGTGTTTGTGTATTAATCTTTTGATTCAACATCTCATCTACTTGAAATTTATCCGTAAACAGTCACTCATTGCTGACAATCTCAGGAAGTATTCCATTATTCTTTTTATGTTGTATTATTGTTAGTATTGTTGTTCCTTTCAGTTCCAAGTAGGACATAGGGCTTCAGCAGCACATCTCCACGTCATCCTGTTGTCTGCAGTCCTCTGAAGCTAACCCCACGATTGCCCACGGACTTTCATCTCCTCATCACACGATCAGCTCATAGTTTCCCAATCGAGCGATGGTCTGACGAACAACCTCAATCAACGATCTTGTCAGCGTGTGTCAAACCCATCTCCATCTTGTCCGGAGTATTTGTCGAGCGATTGGTTCTTGATTGGTTCACTCCAAGAGTTTGTTTCCAATTCTTCATCGCTAAGCATCTAATCTTCATCATGGAGCCAGAGAAGGCAGCTGTTGATAAAAGTCTGCAACTACCGGTTGCAAATGCTTTTCGCGACGTGCTGGCCACGATTCTCACCCATATAGAAGCCCTGACTCACTTAATATCCATGTCAGAAATCCGAATCTTGTTCCTTCCACTGAGTTCAGAATATTTTCAAATGGATTTGAGAGTGATGAATGCCCATGTCGCCTTTCCGATTATGATGTTCACATCCTCATTAGTTCGGCGTGTCTATAGTTGAAACGACGCTGCTTAGATAAATGAAGCAAGTGACCTCTTCCAAATTTATTCTGTCGATAGTGATTGGTGCTTGTTTCTGTTGTTATTGTTGTTGTCAATTGGTTACTTTCATCACATCCATCTTCTGCCTGCATCTTCTGCCAGCTCGTTGGTTTTCTCCTGTAAGTCTTCGAGTTTGTGCGACACTAGACATAAATAATCCGCGATATCCAGTCCCACTGAAGTCTTACTTTCTGCTCAACATATTCCTGTGTTCTCATTTCCATGCACAGTCTTCCGAATAATCTAGTCCACCACAATCGGCAATACCATCGGCGATAGTAAGTAGCCTCGTCGTACTCATATTTTCACTTCGAAGGCTTCTAAGTTGTGGATCAGTTGACATGTGGCATTATCATATAGCTGCTGAATGAGGTTGACAAAGGTTTTTGAGCACTGCACTTCATAATGTTGAAGTAGTTCCCAAATTAATTCGTGGTCAACGCTATCGAAGGCCCATCCAAAGTCGATGGAATTCTTTGTGTACACTAAGTGTTTATCTAACTAATTTTGAATGGACAAATATCAGGTGTTCAATCCACGATGAAACAGTAGACTACTACAGATACATTCGCTCATTATAGGCAACTATTTTAGTGATGCTTTGTATCTCCTGGGTTTATCTGACAATGTACACGAAGACTGTAGGTGATTCGACCTCATGCGTATAATCTAGGCGCGAATATTTTTACTTTTTAATTTTTTTTATTACAGCTTGATGCCACACCATATTTTCAGTACAAGTATGGAATTTTCAGCATGGATATCGGTAGCCCAAATTTTGCAGGCCGATCATAGATATCGGGTGTGCGTCAGCAGGGGGTCGAACCCCGGACCATGTGCATGGTCGGCGAGAGTCCTAACCGCTGTGCCACCGACGCCACCGAATAAAAGGTGGCGTATTCGAAAGATCGATTTTTTTAAGGTTGTAAGAAGAAGTCACTACCTAAATTTCAGCATGTTCTACCTAGTCAGCCGTACACGAAAGCAGGTGAAAACGGTGTTCTGTAATGCAAACGGAATATGTCCAGCTGACAAGGTATACAGTAAACAAATGTTACTACAGAAATGCCTGAAAACTTCATCAACAACTATGGCGAGAATGTAAAAACACCACATAAAATTTACGGTCATTCAAAATCTCGTTTCTATTCACATTTGTTTTCATTGTGAAAATATTATGGGAACCATAAATAAACAGTTATATATAACAGTAACCAAGATGTATTCTGTAACTAAGTTAATCTCTCTCCTCCTAAGCCTCAGCACTTGGTACAGCTAAAAACCGCCAATCACCCCTCATATTTCACTGCCAGTTGTGTAAATAAATTGATGTGTATCTGCAGCATCGGTTACATTAAGAGAACAGAAGGACATGATGTTGTCCGATTCTTCGGACATGTTCCATACAGCCTTAGATTAAAGTGGTCGAACACCTGATGGACAAAGGATATCGCTTGGATGCAGTTAGATGATCCAGAATAGCTGTTACACAAGGCAGCTCAAGTCTTTTTCGGTTAGCTGAAGAAATCACAATAGACCAGCTGAAACCTGATTCGTATCCCAAAGGAATCCATTATTAAACTTCACTTGCCCTTTTTAATAACCTTTCGTATTATGCTGTAATTTTCGATCCTTGGAGTTATACTTACTGTATTTTATTACAAAGTCCATCATCGTCTTTTTATTAGATTTCTAACACATTAAACTTATTTTTGGCTTCGATCTTCTGAATTGTACTCACCATATTCTATTATGCGTTGTGAGGTGACTGTTAGTGATTTATCACAATGCCTAAGTAATATATTAGCTGTTTTTATGCTGCTACCTCTAACAATAACTTTTTTTTACGAGGAAGACTGTTTCCTGCTGGTAGGCATACCTGTGTTAAAATCGTATTATAACTCATAGTAATCAGTGTTATAGTTTGTACGGAGTCAAAGACGAATGACAAAGTAAAATTGACACATGTTATCTTGATACACGGCTTTTTGTGTCGCTTCTCACATTTTGTTTTAGCATATCACTCGTTCATGATAGATGAATTCATTTTTTACTGCCTGATATAATGTAATGCCGATGAAGATGCCTTATAACACAATGATTTGAACAGTTCCGAAGGCACTATGCAACAGGTCGATTAAAGAATAACTCGATTACCAACAAGTTCATGGGTTGTCTTTGTTTCAGTACAGTTTTGTGCCACAAGATTATTTTATTATATAAATTTATAACCTTTTCCTACCCCACACTCAACAAATATATTATGATTAATCACCATTGTCTCCCGTTTTACAATATTTTGTAATCGAATTCAGCCTAGCACGTTTGTCACACAAATACGACTATTTATTTTGACATCCCATAAATAATCTGTTATTCTACGTTAAAAAACTGGCCTTTATTGTAACGACAACAAATATTATATTTTATAATTGTAAGAACCTGAAGAGAAATTATTGAAAAGAATATCCTTCGTTCAGATTGACTTTTAATTCATAATATGGGAATTTTCCACACTATCAAATCTTATGTTATTATGTTTGGAAATTATCCTATTTTGATAGTTATACAAAAGGTGACTACTACAGTAACTGGAGATATCCTATGCCTATTTTCACATATGTGTGGACAGTAATATTCTCATATTTTGTAGTCAGCTACACTGTTTTGTTTTCTCCTGACTGTGACAGATTATTAGTGGTATTTCATAAATCAAGATTCTAAGTCGATAGAAATTCATCAGAAGAATGTATTTGAGATTTCAGCAGAATTTGTCCTACTACACAAATCCTGACAAAAATGTGCCAAATGTTCTTAGTGTAACTGCTGCCCTTTCAGGTCTGCACTATGTAGATTTAATGACTGGCTAAGTGAAACCAGTTTCACTGTATCCCTTCGTTTTTTTCTGGCCAAATTCAAGTGAAATCTGTCAAAGCTGAGCTGCAAAGTGATGATGTTCCTGACTTCAAAAGTGAGTTAAACAAATGTGAATTTTTATGAGGAATTTAGTACTGATAAATGCTACAACATCTTCGAGAGTCACTTTATCGTCACAACGTATTCCTACCTTCTCGTAACCCATAGTCTGCCACACGATCAAGTCCACCATAATCAGAAATATGATCTGTGATATCAGGCAGTCTTGTCTTACTGTTGTCTTCACTTCAAACGCTTCGCAGAGATTTCCGTTGTGAATCACTTGGCATAGCCATTGAATGTGGGTCAGCTTAGGAGCAGTTTGCAAATTACTTCATGACCATTTGAAAGTGCTTACATATATTCTCACATTATCATCTTCAAAATGTCGAGCACCAGTCTTCTTCATCAAATTATTCAGTTTCACACACCCATATTTCTTAAGCATCCTATCATTCCTTGTCGATTCTCTTCCTTCTAATGTTTAATTTTAAACGTTCCAAATCGAGGACATACGGTTCCCAACTAGGATAAATACTGGTTATTAATTTTAGTTTTTAATAAAAATATCCTAAGAGGTAACACTTTTGAATTCAGAAGGGATTTTATGGTGATGGATATTCTTGACAAAGGGCAATTCACAAAACTACGTTAAATGGAAAAAGTGTTCTAACTGCAGTTTCAATGAATAAAAGACAATTCAGAAAATAGAACTTTCTTTATCGACGAATTCAACTTCAAAGGCTGTACAAATGTATTTATGTTTATGCAAATGCTTAGCAGTCTATTACTGAGTAAAAGGGGTTTGAGACACAAACGATACAGCTAATAAGAAGCTACTTCTAAAGGCAGGAAGAAATTACACAGCAATCATAGACACAATGGAAGCAAGGGTTTGGAATTTCGTAAGGTGCCATATTTTTTAGTAAACATAAATATGATGATAGAGCCTAAGAAGATGAATTCTTTGCCAGACAAAACTTTCTTCCCTAGATTGTCTTTTATTTTCTTCATGATTCAATAGTTGTTTTCGGTATTCCAGCCAAAACCTTAAGAATATTCAATGTAATAGAGGTTTTTCATAATGATGGATATCATATACCCAATTTCCAA